TTTTTTGTTTTTGAAGAAACATTTAAATTAGGTAAAACAAAATCCTCAAAAATTAGGCTGGGCACATCCTCTACGTATAGGTAGTGTTCCTTAATGTTTAAGTTATCAAGTTATCTGCTGTTTAAAACACGATTTTCCTTCAGTGTTGCCGTACTTTGACAGTTTCAATAACAATCTCAGCTTTTTCATATATAGCATGTTTATTAAAGTTACTGTCCAAAAAAGCCAAATATGTGTTTTAAGAAGAGATTTATGAGACAATAAAGCAAAAAGTGTAGGCAGAGATCCCCCTGTTGACCTGTGGAGATGCAGCTGATGGTTTTTAAGTTTTATAAGTTGGACCTTTTGAACTTTTACACTCCTTAACCCTAGAGGACAAATCTATAGGATAAAATGCACTTGTATGACCATTTGTTTTGTTTTGGTAGGATTCCAAAATAACATTTCTTTTCTATAAAGTAATTTAGCTTAAAGCTGCAATGACATATTCATATTTTTAAAAAAAAAATGAACTATTGAAACAAAGGTGCAGGGTTACTATACTATACGTCTTCCTTTTCTGACCGGTTTTTGATCTTAAACTACTCTTATATATTGTTGTTCTTTCGAATGAAACACATGGAGTAACAGATGTTGTAAACTTCAAAATCAATGAAAACAATAAGAGGGTATTTAATTTTTGGCTTGTGTGATGATCAGAGTTGGGATTAAACGTTTTTATGGGCTGCAGAAGATTATCAGCAGAAGATTATCAACAGCAGTGGTCCACAGCAGGGAATATCTGCAAATAAAGAAATTACTGTTGTGATGTCAGTGGGCAGACTGTTCTAAAGTTTAGGCCCAGTCACCTTTGTTTTTACTAGCATAAACTTTGGAACAACCATTCACTGATCCAAGTAAATGACCAGACACACATGGGTTTAACAAGTGCATCATGTACTTCGAACCTGGCATTTAATGCTTTAAAGATGTTAAATTCTTTTCTTTCTTTTTTTTAAATGTAACATTTTAACCTGAATGAGTTCAGAACATGTGCAGTTGTGTAGGTCATCTTCTGCTTTTATTTTGGCACTCTTCTAAAAGAAACACCATGTTTACAGGAGAGAGTGCTGTAGAGCTTAGAAATGTAACATGACTGATTGCTGCATCATCAAAGTCTAAATCATGTGGAAGCCAGAATAAGAAAATAGTAGTATGCATGCTTGCTACTTTACTAAATCCTAAAGAAATGTTGTCTGACCTTCTGGTTTCCAGTCAGACTCAAAAAAGTGTATTTACTGGAACATATCTTGGATTTCAAAGTCCAAGTGATTATAAATTAAAAGAAACGAAGTCCCCAAACAAAATACACAAAAGCAGCCCGATGTCAGGCAGAAGCTCATGTTTTTATGCCTGGGGACAATTTACCGGATGTCTGTTTTTATTTCTCTTTAGAAAAAAAGACATTTCCATAATAAACTGATGCAGAAAAGAAAACAATGTGCACCAAAATAATTCATCAAATTTTAGGAAAAAATAATGTCTCATAGCCAACCCCAGCCCTCCAGCTTAATGTCTTCCACTAAGTGCTCATATAAACTACCGCCGATAAACGAGACGTGTGATGTCAAGAACGTGATCAGCATCACGCCCACCTGCAAAAGTCCTTATTATTTTTTGGGCAGAGTATAAAAAGCCAACATAATATTTTCATGGTTAAAATCAGTTTTTTTCTATCACAGTCAGACTAAGTGCAAGAAAAAAACTGAAAGACGTGCATTTTCATTTCATGAAATGACACAAAGTTCAAAGAGTCCTTGATTTATTCTTTTTTTACTATTTGAAAAAAACAAAACAAACACACACATTTCTGGACCCAAATTGGCCAAAACTTTTAAAAAATATATCCTAACATGTATTAGAAATGTTTTAAAAGGAACAGCTTTGTGAGTCCTGGAAGTCATACAGTGGCAGCCGCACTGAGATAAAGAAAAGTGTTTGTGTATGATGAAATAATATATTAAATACATATCACAACAAAAATACACATTTCTGCGAAACCATTACAGTTTCAATTTATAATCATGGAAAACTATAATGTTTTCAGTGGATTATTCATTCACATAATGAATGTAGTTGATATTTTATTACTGATTGCACATTTCCTGCAATAGCTGTGGAGTGTGTGTTCATTTGAATCAGTCACTTCTACTGTGAAGTGTTGAACAAAAAAAAATACAAAATGACTTAACTCGTGATTCTTTGTTTAAGCCTCTATCAAATACGCTTCCTATACGTTGATTCAGGAAGCCTGAACCTCATTGCATTAGTCCATTGTTGCATTGCTCCAAAAATATTGCACACCTGTGTAGGTCCTACCTTCCATTATGGACAGAGATACACAAGCAGGCTAAAAATTTCCACATGGGGCCAAAATGTCATTTTCTGTGTCCATCGTGACTCTGTATGCTACAGTAATTTACCTCAAAACTGATTTTGTTTTTTGTGCTCACAACCTGTCAGTTTTCCCCACCGTTTTTGAACCACTTTCATCCACAGAGTTTGAGTACAGGTCCTGTTTTATTTCATTGCCTACGTAGCTGATGTTATCATAAACTTGTCTCATGTGGCTGTTCGTCTCCGCCTTTTCCCTGTCCTTTTCTTTTTCCTGCTGGAACTGGAGCAGCACCGCTTTATTTACACCGGGACCTGAGAGAAAGGAGCACGACACAACGCAACAACGAGACACTTAGTCTTCACCTTCAGTTTTAATAGTTTCTCAACTACACATAAAGAACCCAGAGGAAAATGATGTACGTACCGAAATAACTGAGCACCACTGGGAGGAATATAAGTCCGTGAGCCATTCCCAGGAGTGTAATGACGAGGTTCAACCGGAAGAAGAAAATCTGGATGAGCTGCGCTTTAGCAAACGCCAGCACGATGATGCCTGGCAGGTTAGTCATAGCAACACCAGCAAACACCTTGAGGGTGCAAAAAAAGGGAAAATTCATTTGAAAACATTTTTGGTTCAAATTTTTCTTTAAAGGGTGATTAACAACATCAGCTCTTCTTTATAGTTTACTTACTGCGCTGCCCATTTTGGCCGTAGCCTCGATTGCTCTTTCCACACGTGTGGGCTTGGTGCTGAGTGCAAACGATCTCGTCATATGCGACACAAACTCAACAGAGATGCCCACCGCCTGCAGATTGCACAGAAGATGTGAGTTAGCCTAGACTTTCACCTTCATTTAAACCATCAAAAATGAATCTCTGCAAAGCACGGGAAAAATACAAAAGGCTAGCAAATTTAGTAAAAATATCCACACTCAGTTGATTGTATAGGTTGGTCTCTATAGAAACCCAGTGATGCAGCTAATCAGCACCTGTTATTAGGCAGACTGGTCAACACAATGTCTTTCCATAACTGTGTCCGCACTTGAGAAAATGAGCCTCCTTCAGTCCCAATGATCTGATTTGCTCTTACCGTGACCAGATTGATGAGAGCCACTGCGTTATAGTCGATGCTCCACAGTGTCATGACACCGACTGTATCCACAACGATCATGACAATGGTGAGCAAATTGAGCAGGCCGGAGCGCAGATCCAAGCCGAGCAGCAGACAGCAGACCACGAAGGTCGGCAGCAGACACAAGGAGATGTTGAAGAGTCCCTCATTCACAATAGTCAGGTACTGCTCATAAAATACGTAGGTTATCCTGGAAGGAGGAGAAACATAAAACATTGATCAGAAAATACAAACCGCTTAAAGACTAAAACAACTTTCTGGCAGAGTGGTTGGAGCTGAGGTGCAGGGAAACGGGGAAAGTACATACGTGTAAGGGAACACTTCAAAGTCAGGCGAGGTGCCTGGCACGAGCCTCATGCCTTTGGTGATCTTGTCAGCGAGCTCCCTGGCCATCTTCAGGGCAGCGGTGAACTCCTGGGAGTTGGTCAGAGGCGTGTGGTAAGCCATGAACCGAGAGGCTGGAGAGACAGGGGGGTAAAAAAGGTTTTACTTTCTATTTTTTAAATCTGTTTTTGAATGAATAGAATCACTTCCACTGCTATGCGGTGTTTTTGGGGACCTACCTATTATTTCCCCACTTTCATCTCTTACCACTGCTTTGTCATACGCTCCTAGACCGCTGTTTAAAAAAGACAGTAAGCCATGAGATTTCCGTTTTGATGCTGGGATTTATTAGTGTGTATGTGCGCATTTACAATACAAACCCTTTGGAGCACTGCAGGTCAGGCCTGTTAGTCAGAAAGTCAGGAAGGTAGCGGTTGAATTGTGCCACAGTGGGCCTCACCGTATCATTAACAGGACGTGCCAGACACCTTTTAGCACAGATAAAACCAGCTGTTAAGACAAATAAGAAGAGTAGGGGTTATTGAAGTCATGTCTTTGTTCATGTTTAGATAGTAACATCAAAAACTGTGTGCAAGTATGTTTTTTTAATGCTTTTTTTCATTTAAGAAATGATTCTCACATTCATTTGCAGGACAGAAATGTCCTGCATTGGGACCGCTGGTGTACAGACGACAACATTTGGATTGGGGGTTCAACCAGTCAATGAAATCATCCACCCACGAGTTCGCAGGGATAGCCACATAGGATCTAAAGTTGAGATCATACATATAATTATTTATTCTCATAATCATCAAATTCAGAAAAAGGTAAGAAACAGCAATACCTTGTTAGTCTGTTGCATTAAAAGTAACATTATCCAGCACTTCCAAGCAATAATTCATCATTTTATTCAAAATTGAAGTTTAAAAAACCACTTCAGTTTGTGTTTTAAGGGGTTCTGTGCTTGAATATTTGGCCATTTTTCTCTGTCTGTCTCTATGCTCAGTATGCTTCAGTAAGCTAACAACCTGTAGCTACTTCAAATGTATTAATATCCATCCATCCATCTTCATCCGCTTTATC